AGCTTGTCTGTTCCCCTTCCCCCAATTCCCCAGCACTGTTCCCATCCCCCCAATTCCCCAATAAAAATCTTTAAAAAAAAAAACTTTAAAAAAAAGATTAGCCTAATTTCAAGACAGTAGTAGTATGTCTAGCAAAATAATAAATTCTATGGTAGCTATAGAACTAACATGTGAATCTTAGAAAAAGCCTATGTTAGCACTAAAGACATTTGAGGAACTTCTTTAAATGCAGGATATCACACAGGCCACGTCTAGCTTGGAACAAGTGGTGTTTAGAGAGGCACTGAGCAACCCAGAGCAAAGTCAGGTGAGGGAAGAGCACTACTAATCATCGAGCTCTGTCTCTTGGGCATTATCTGTAGTACCTCATTCACGCATGGGTATTAACTATATTTGCAGATGAGAAACAGGCTATGGGAAGCTCACCCTACTGTTTAGTGGCAGACAAAATTCAGTTCAAGCTCTGTCTGGCTCAATCCCAAGGAGGGTGTGAAACACCAAGGATATGAGGTCAGCTATAGGTGTTTTTAAGAGAAGAATGCTTCTAGCAGAGCAGTAGGAGATGGAATAAAACCAATTTAGAGCAGGTCTATGCCAGTAGCAGTTGTATAACCATGAAGATATCAGAGATTCAGTTCAGTATGGCTGGGGTTCAAATTAAAGTTATAGAGAAAAAAGGAAAGCCATGAACAATGTAAGGGAGAAAAGGCAAATTTTTTGACAGAATTTACTTGGAAATTGAAAGGGGAAGTTTTAATTCATTTGAATGTACTTAATAAGGAAGAATGAATGTGTAAAAGATCTATTCTCAACTAAGTGTTTGTCTACTTTGAAAGTTTTTTTTCTCTCACCTTTCTTGGTATTGTCTCCATGTCTAGATGCCCTTGGAAATTACCCGTAGTTTTATCCAGAACCGGGATGGGACTTATGAGCTGTTTAAATGCCCTAAAGTGGAAGTAGAGAGCATAGCAGAAACCTACGGTCGTATAGAAAAGCAACCAGTGCTGCGACCCTTGGAACTAAAAACTTTTCTCAAAGTTGGTAAGTGATTGGTGGTTTCAATCGCGCATCTTCCTGTGAAGGTCACCCATGTCCAATACATTGTCCTACCCTTTGGATCTTGACCTTACACAAAGAAGGGACATTTATTTATCTTATAAAGGTAATCATGAAATAAAGTGTTTTGTTTCATTTGACCCGGTGCTTTAAAAATAAAATTATAGAAGTAATGCATGTTTACTATAGAGAAACCATAGATTTCATAAAGAAAAAAATTAAAACCACCTGTAATCTCACCCACCACAGACAACATCACCATTAAGATTTTGTTGTACAGACTCTTTTCTGTGCATAAAGAGTTTCTAAAATATGGGATCGTGTTTCAGCTTTTTTTCACTTAACAATATATCATGAACAGCTTTCCATGTCTATCTTCAACTTTTTTTTAACTTTTTTATTGTTATAAAACATACATAATATAAAATTAACCATTTTTAAGTTCTCTGGCATTAAGTGCATCCACATCGTTGTGCAACTTTCACCACCATTCATATCTAGAACTTTTTCATCTTTCTCAACTGAAACTCGACAATACCCATTAAACATTCTGCCTCCTCCTAGCCCCTGTCAACTACCATTCTACTCAATGTCTCTTTGAATTGTTACTCTGGGTACCTCATGTAAGTAGAATTATACAATATTTGTCCTTCTAGTTTATTTCATGTAGCATAATGTCTTCAACATCCATGTTATAGCATGTGTTAAAATCTCTTTTTAAGGCTAAATATTCCATTATATGTATATACCATGTTTTGTTTATCCATTCATCTGTCGATGGAAAGACACTTGGGTTGCTTCTACCTTTTGGCTATTGTGAATACAACATTTTTAACCGCTGCATAAAATTCATTTATTAAAGTACGTCACTCTAAGGGCTGACCGAGTGGCTCAGTTGGTTAAGAGTTTGCTCAAGAGTGGGAGCTCTGAGCAACAGGGTCACTGGTTGGAATCCCGGCCCAAGCTGAGCTGCCACTGAGCTGCCAACAGGTGGCAGGATGGCTCAGCTAAAAAAAAAAAAAAAAGTACCTCACTCTAATCAATTCTCTAAGTTGTTTCAAACTTTTTGCTTTTATAAACTGTGCTTCCTTTTAGAATTAACATCTTTTTAGATAAAAGTTTTATGTCCTTAATTATTTACTAACCTATTTAGGATATTCTTTGGGATAAATTACTAAAAGTAAAATTGGAGGGTCAAAGGTTATGTACATTTTTAGGGCTTTGATTGTTTTTGTCACACTGCTCTCCAGAAAGATGGCGATATTTATATAATGTGTTAGCTGTGTATGAAAAAACTTCTCTTTTTTTTTTTTTTTAAATTGGGGAATTTGGGGAGGGAAACAGCGTTGGAGAATTGGGAAGGGGAACAGACAAGCTGTTGACCTTTTGTTGGTCAGTCTAGTTGTGGAGGATGTCACCTCACTGGCCCATGTTGGTATTATCATTGCGCTCTTCCTGGCTGAGGCAGATCGGTCACCAGCCACTGGATGGCCACTCACGGCAGCTCTTGGCAGCTCATGCCGGCTGCCAGCCACTCACAGTAGTTTTATGGCAGCCCACTACAGCCTCACTGCAGCCTATGCCATCACCGGCAACTCACAGCAGCCCAGCTCCAAGTCAAGCTGTTGTTCACCATCTTAGCTGTAGAGGGCGCAGCGTCACTGACCCGCATGAACTGGGGCCCTGCTGCTCAGAGCTGGCATCCCAAGCCAACTCCTAACCAATGCACCACACAGCCGGTCCTAATTTATTCTCTTTATGATTGATATAGTTGGCCTATTATCTTCTTGTTTTGTATTCTGTTTTGCTAAATGGACTGTTTTTTGTGCCTAATTGTCTCCATAATTTTGAAGGTGATACCATATTCATAAATTCTGTTAGTGTTTTATATTTCTCAAAAGCATTCTTTAATCTGAGTTTTCCATGTTTTAAATTTTTGATCCTCTGGAATTTATCTTAATGTAAGGTATGAGGTAAGAGTCTGCCACCTTTTATTTTCTTCTAGATAGTCAGTGCACATCATTTATTATAAGAAACACTTACTTGTATTTTTTTTTTTAAGATGTTATTGGGGAATCAGGGAAGGGGAACAGACAAGTTGCTGTCCTTTTGTTTTTCAGTCTAGTTGTGGAGGACGTCGCTTCACTGGCCCATGTTGGTATTATCATTGTGCTCTTTCCAGGTGAGGCAGTCGCTCGCCAGCCATTGGACAGCCGCTCACAGTGGCTCACGGCAGCTTACGAAAGTGCACGCCAGCTGCTGGCCAGCTCCACTGCAGCCTACGCCATCACTGGCGACTCATGGCAGCCCAGCTCCAGGTCAAGCTGTTGTTCACCATCTTAGCTGTAGAGGGCGCAGCATCACTAGCCCTCATTTGGGATCCGAACCGGAGCCCTGATTTTCAGAGCTGGCGTCCCAAGCCAACTCTTAATTAACGCGTCACTCGGCCAGCCCACTTGTATTTCTTTTACTAATTGAAAATGCTGCCTTTACCTTATGCTGAATTTTTATTCTACTTGTGTCCATTTTGGGTCTATTTAGTTATTTTAATCTGTCTAGACATATGCCAGTACCACACTTTTGATTAAGGATTTGTAATATGTTTTTAATCACATAGATTTAAAAATTTTTTTTTCCTGGTTTCCTTGAAACTTGCTTGAACTTTTCTTTCAAATCACCCTTCTAATCTGATACAGCTGTTCTTTCCTCTTGTCTGGGCTCTCCTTATGATTCTTTTGGCCCTATTTTCATAAAGTCTGGGTCTTATTTTATTTGAGGATGCCAGAAAGTTCCCTCAAATTTTGTTTTGGATAGATACAGCAGTAATCATTTTTCCCTTGCCTTGGTCTTCTTTTTCTCTTTCTTTTTCATTCCTGAACAGAGTAAGATCTGTCCAGACTTAAATTTTGGAATTGTACTAATCAATGTTACTTTTTTTTTTTTTTTTTGTCTTCAGGCAACACTTCACCAGATCAAAAGGAGCCAACACCTTTCATCATCGAGTGGATCCCAGATATCCTTCCCCAATCCAAGATTGGTGAGCTGCGGATCAAGTTTGAGTATGGTCACCACCGGAATGGGCATGTGGCAGAGTACCAAGACCAGCGGCCCCCCCTGGACCAGTCGTTGGAACTGGCCCCTCTGACCACCATCACTTTCCCTTGAGGCAAAACAAAAGTCTTTTGTTGCTAAATTTGCACATCCCCACCCCTTGACAACTTTAGATATTAGTTAGGTACTTAGATGGCCCTGTTCCTTAGTGAACTATTTTTAGCTAAAATGCAATTTCTCAATGCATTCAAGTGGCTTCTGTTGAAGAACTCTTCTTGTAAATGGCCTTTTTGGTGCTGCTGTGTAGTCTTCATTATAAATGGGGTGGCATTTCTGGTTAGAGTTTTTAAAGGAACAAAAGGAAAACCAGCTCATTTTCCTTCTTAAAGGACTCACCTTTAGAGTTTCTTTCAATCTTTTTCTAATTCTCTAAGTAGCTAGTAGTACCTCGCCTGACACTAACAATGTTGGAAAGTTAACAACACCCTGGTTAGGACAGAATGTTAAGGACCATCATGGCAGGGTTCCAGTCATGCCCTTTTATTCTGTTATCAAATAAAGCACAGTGTCACTAATTTTTCTAAATTATATCTCATGTTAGCCTGATTATAAAATTATAAATGTTTTTTTGGGGGGGGGGATTTAGGTGATAGTGAAATAGGAAAAAGAGGTCCAGGCGTCAAGGGAATATTGACAAGTCAACCTAATGCTTGTAATTGATTATTCACTTGGTATTTATTTCCTTCTTTATTCTCCAAAAAGTTTAACATCTGGTAAAATTCATTTCCTACTTCTGAGTTTATTGACCACAGACTGGAGATACTGAAAGACATAGAAATGGAAGCCTGTTTTCAAGGAGGAAGGCAGGGAATGAACATTTCCTATATGTCTACCATGCACCAGGTACTTTTATTTACATTTCTACTTAATCATTTTTCTCATTTAGTACTTATTATTTGTTGAGTTTAGATATTACCCCTTCTTTTATAAAGTTAAAGAAACAGCCTCTCTGAGGTTAAGTATCTTGCTGGAAACAGCATTACAAATAATGTTTCATTTTACTCCAAAGTACATATTCTTTCTACTTTATCATGTTACTTTGATATAAATTCCTTATAATTCATTGACCTTGGGAATACAAGAAAAATCCAACGAAGTAATCTCTTAGATTTCTTTTGGTTTCAAGTAACAAAAACCCAACTGTCACCAACTTAGGCAAAAATGGAAATGAATGGTTCACGGACACTAAGATAGGGCTGGACAACCAACTGGGGTAAAGCTGGGGTGTAGTTAGACCTCAGAACCCCTGGAGCCAGGCTCCATCTGACCCATCTCTGCCCCTTTTGAGGCTTTTGTTAGGATTCTGGCTCCTGACATGCCTGAAAGTATAGCTTCCACACTAGATCAGGACCGACTGCTCTGCTCTCCCTGACCCAAAGGGCAAACACTCCCAAGAAAGGGAGTTGGACTAACTTGTGTGTGGGGGGAGGAAGCATTTTTCATAAACAGGAAGATGTACCCCTAGGTAGGCAGATTAACTGTTATTTAGCCTGTATGATTGAGGGGCTAGCTTATGTAGAGAGCTCCCAAGTGCTTCAAACAGCAGGGGAAATCCTTGAGGAGACTCCAGGGAGGTCCCTAGAGAACTTAGAACTAGCACTGGGCTTTAAGGAGAGGAAAGGTTTGGATGGGTGTCACATCCCGCGTGGCAAGGGCTGTGGAGTGCAGGAAGGGCGGCGCAGGGTTAAGAAAACACAAGAGTCAAGTATAGGGCTAAAGCGGGCCAAGGGACTCAAGTCTCATGGACTGAGCCCCTAATTGGGTCAATGCGTAGCTTTTATTAGTAATCATACAAGGAAGTGAAACTTGTTTTTTCCAAGGTCTGTTAATTGCGTGCCTGTCTGTTTTTCCCGAAAGTCCTCGTTGTATTCCAACACGTACTGTGCCTTCATACACACACACACACACACACACACACACACACACACACACACACACAACCCCAGGGGATGGAGTCACTGTACTGAAACCATCCAGATAAGGGAGATGACCGGTATCATTCCATCAGGTCTCAGCCTTCCGAGATACCCCCTTGAGGAAGCTTTACCGATATCATTCCATCAGATGTCAGTCTTCTGAGACACATCCTTGGGACCTTAGGAGGTCATGGGGTTGGGGGGGCGGGGGAGCAGACGGTTCGGCAGCTGTAAGGCAACAGATGGGTACAGGGAAGAGGAAAAATTAAAACTAGGGGAGGCAGAGAGCCTGCATGAAAAGCAGTAACACTTAAGGAAACACGGTGGTGGATTGCCCATTCTGAGAAATCTTTCAGCCTAATGACTTTGAGGACGTCGGTCACAGTTTTTTGACCAAGACAAATATATGAGTAACAGGTAAATGCCTGGGTCTAACAGTACTTGACTGACCCAGGACAACCATGAGGTCCCTAAAACACGTGGCTGAGGCAAATGATCCACCCAGAGGCCCCCACTCAAGTGCTAAGGTCTTCAGAACTTCTTCAGCCCATGCTCAGCCCATCAAAATCTGGAATGGGGTTCAGAGTTACATTGACCGTTTTTTCTAACTTGACACCTTCTCTACCAGGAGTACCAGTAGGACCTCTGCACCCACCCTCAGTGTCCAGACACCTCTGGGACACCATCAGGATTGACCTCATTTCAGACTCACTCCACACTCTACCAGAGTGGTTCTAGATACTCCCACCAGAACAGCAGTCTTCAAACCCTGCATCTACCTGCCTCCCTACCCATATACACTCCCATTTGTACGCCTCCATTAGTCATTGGAATCCCCCATTTCTATGGTGTGCCCTGCTGCTGCCTTTCCACGCTGCAGCCACCTTTTGTATTGGGGAGTGAACAACTCAAGACCCTTCATGTCCGCATAACCGCCTGTCGACTGCACAGACTGATCATCTTCAGACCATATTAATGGGTCTGCAAGAGATGCTGTCTTAACGCCGCCTCCAGGCAACATGGCTGGGCCCCTAACATTTGGGCATCATGAGAACAACTTGGTACTCCTCCACCCAGAACATTTTGGTTCTAACCTATCATTTCCCTGCCTCTACCAGAACTGCTGTCATGTCAACAGCTTGTTAGTATTTAGAGAAGTGATAGGCCACGTGGAGACCTCCAGAAACTCTGACTCCAAGAACCACCCACCTAAGCAAAGGTCATTAGGCTTGCCACCTGGCTCTCTCGAGGTACCAGATGTCATCAGCCCTGTGGCTTTCTAGACCAAACAATTCCCAGTCACATGAGTCCACCCCATCTTTCTCTGATTGCTGTTATGTCTGGTCTGCCAATAACCTGCCCTTCCCTCCAGCCCACATGTGCATACATACATGCACACACACCACACACACTCCGGCCCCCAGCCATGGTCATTTACAGAGTGCAACCTGTGTATGTCATCCAAGAGACACTGTTTTGTCAGTGCCTATTTCTCCCATGTCAGAAAGAGCCCAGAACTTGCCCTCCACTAGAACCCAGGGAAACTACTCTAGCTGCTGAAAGTGAGGGAATGGGCAGGGGCTGCCCTCCTCTAACCCTTGAGAACCCTCTCAAGCATGTCACAGACAACACAAAAAAGTCCACCACAGAAAACAACCTTTGTGTTTTACTTTTTTGTGTGAATTTTCCCAAGATGGATTTGCTTATCCCCTTAACCTACTTCTCTTTTCTTAAATCCCAGATTCTAATTTCAATTTTCTTCCTTTGCATCTTGTTGTATCTTCTGATACTACTTACTTGATACTCTTGTTAAACCTTCTGGCAGACCTTGCTCCCTATGTGCCTGCCCTCCCATCATCCAGATCTGCAAGCTCCCTTCACATCTTTATACCATCCCACCTGCCTCACCAAGGGAGCAGGGTAACTTTTGCTTTACAGCAGTGCTTTACTGTGCATAGGAATCACCCAGGGAAGTAGTTAGAATGCATATTCTGATTCAGAAGTTCTAGGGTGGGTCCAAGATTCTCCATTTGTATCATCAAACTGGATTCAGAAAGCACTGAACTGCAGAGGTGCTGCTAGACTGTAGACTAAGTAGTAAGACCTAATGCTTGACCTAGTATTATGACTCCTACCTTTTGCTGCCACTAATGAGGAAAGGCATTATTGGAGGTCAATGATATTCAGCATACAGTGGCCCTTGCAGTAACTAGGGCACTAGCTAGCATATAGATAACTAGTACACGCCCACGAAGTTTCTCCAACTGATGGAGGCACTAGCCTTGCTCCTCAGATCTGGTTCCAACTTGACAGCTCCAGTAGAAAGTGGGTCTGTAACCATATGCATTTCTTGCATTTTTTCTCCCCGGCACTTTTTCCATTGTTCTCCCCACACCCACTACCTTAAGGTTCAGATTTTAAGCCCTGGGATCAAACCCCCACTCTGCCACCCACTTAATGGTGCCAAGTTGGGTAAGTTACTTAACCCTGAGCCCCAGATTCCTCACCTGGATGATGTGCATAGTAAATAAGACACTGAAAAACGCTCGTTAAATACTAGCCATTACCCTTTCGCCTATTCGCACTTCTCTCTTCCTCTTCTACCGTGTTTTTCTAACTTCGCTTTTAATGGTGCTTTGTTCCTTCTTGAGATTTTTTGTACCTTATACCACTGTTGTGCAAGATCACATTTCTAATGTAACAAAAAAAGGCTGTAAGTAAACATAAAAGGGAGGGGTGCTGGTATTATTTTTCCACAATGAACCATATTACTTTGGTAATTTCGAGAAAAGGCAAGGTTACAACCATAAAATAAGAGGCATACAAATTAAGCTTCCATCCTCCACGAAAAAAAGGACGAAAAGAAAGAAAAAGACGCCGCAGCGCCGCATGTGGGAGCTGGTCACGCGGCTGTCGGCCCTCGCCTCCGCGAGATGACGTCAGTCACGTTCTCGCCCGCGCGGCCGCTTCTGGCCGGCATGATCGCTCTTCTTCCACCAGGCGGCGCCGTAGGACGTTCTGTTGCCGAGGCCTCGTGCGCAGCCGCACTGGCCCCCTCCCGACACGTCATCACCCCTTCGCGTCTTTTCTGGAGAGCGCGGGAAGGCGAGTGCTGTAGGGTGATGACGTCACCGGGGTTCCCCGCGTGTCTTGCGGAGGCAGGGCCGGGGACGTGGCGCGCGCAGGGAGGAGGGGCACAGGAGGCAAGAGAAAGAGGGAGAGGGGGAAGGGGGGCACCGACCGCAGGCCCGCGCTGGGGCTGACTAGGCCGCGCCCACGCCGGCGCCCGCCTCGTGACCCACCGTGGGGCCTAGCCCCGGCCATGACGGCTGGCCGAGCTGCGGGGAAGGTGCTGACGAGGCGGGTCTCGGCGGGGAGGTGCGCCCGCTGCCATGCGCTTGGCTCTCCCGAGGTCGTTACCCCGGCGGGCCGCCCCCAGGCGTGCCCCAAGTGTCCCAGGCGCCTTTAGGCCCGCTTTTAGGCTGGGCGCTGACCTCTGGCGCCCTCGTGCGGGAGGGTCCAAGCCTGGAATCCGAACCGCGGGTCCCCCTGGGCAGCGGCTCGGGGCACGTGGGGCCGGGCTGCACCCCACCCATGTCGAGCTCCAGA